AGTCCTGCTGTCTAGACAGACTACTAGGACATATTCTCTAGAGCAGGGGTTAGATGGATTGAGACTCCCTTGAGAGCCCTTCCTAGACTCTAATTGACTTGATTGTTAGGCAATTTTTCCTGATGTCCAACTTAAATTTCTTTTTTGCTCAATTTCATCCTATCACTTCCAATTACGTCTGACTGAACTGCTCAAAACAATTCTTCTCCTCTCTGTCTCCTGACAATGAGGATGCAGCACACGCACCTCTTATTAGCACACCTTCACTTCGGAATTTATTGGCAATTCCGAGTACGGAGTTGACATTTTATGCCCACTTCTTACAGATGTCAAAGATATTTTATTCTCCATGGAAGAAAACATAAGCCTGTGAATGTGTGTAGACAATACAGGGCCTTCCCCCTTTCTTCCATAACCGAGACATGTGGTAATTAGAGTAAGAAAGCCTGAATGTAGCTAAGTTACCTTATGCAAAGAGACAGCTTCAGTGACAACACGGACTTGGAAAGTCTCTTTTCCCCTCTGTTCTTACAATAATGTTCAAAATAATTGGGACGATGAAGACAAAAGGAAGAAGTTGAAACATCTCTCAAAGGGAAAATACTGATGGAAAAAGAAAAGCTGTATTTCCCAAAACTACTTACTGGATGATATTGTAGCAGAAACAATGACTTTTCCCCCAGTTTCTCAAAGAACATTGCAAATTCAAAAAACAATGGCTTGCTCCCACCCATCTAAAATTTCAGCTCAAGGCATCTGATGACAATAAACTGCTACAGTTCAGTATTTTTAGGAAGAACGGTCCGTTATAATCTGTATCTCTGTATACTAAATCTGACAAAGAAGCTGCAGGAAGAAAAGAGCATCTGGAAAATGCTTATACATATAAATTGGATCCAAACACCTAAAGAACAATGGACTCATTTCACAGGTGCACTGAACTACAAGATTGGTAGAGCCAGAAGCAGGAGTCTGGCCTCCGACAGCAAATAATGAACTGTTGTAGCCTGAGTACCCATTACTGACTATAGCCTTGGTAAGATGTCCGGATCATGTCTGCAAGACCGGTGATATTCCACAGACTGACTTACCCTGACAGCCCTCGGAGCTGCCAGGATATGAGGTAATGCCAGTCTAATAACAGACACATTAGCACGTGGACCCATCTACCTTCACCCCTTTGTCCACATGTCGACGGGCAGAATGTGTTACAGTCCTTGGAGGGGGGTACTCTGACCGGTACCTGCATGAGAAGGCAATGGCACAGAGTCAATTTTGCCATGTTTCCAGAGGATGAGAATTCCCCCAAAAGCAGAGAAATCTCTCCAGGAGTGGAGCTGCTGGAGATAGCTTTGCTGTGCCTTTGCACTGCTCTGGTAAATTTGGAAAACCTTCTCCTGTGCTGAGACCATGTATTGATACTACTCTAAATTTTTTTTCCTGAATTTCTTCTACATAACTTGGATTGAAAGTAAACATATTTTCATATCTACCCAGAACAGTTATGTAGCAAGAAGAGAAATGACACACAATCAATGAGCTTTCTGCCCATATACACACAGACTGCCTGCAGTCATAACCACACATGTGTTTTCACAGTATATTTTTGTTAAGAGGAGGGATATATTGAGTTCACGGAATGTTAGGTTCCCATTATTACATGTAATTCCAAATAGTAACAACAAAATCAGTTAAATTAAGAATTCAAAGCAAAGGGAGCTCTATGTATTTGGAGGAGGCCAGTCTGTTAGGTTCATTGTAGCTTCTCAGCGCTAACGAATCCCAAACCACGTCCTATTTGGGGAATCAGATGTTAAAATAGGCTAGGCAGCTCTGTAGTGGAGTTCCTAACTGTAGTCAGGAATTAATACAGAGGCACTTGAATCAGCAATTTCCTGACTGACAGTCGGTCTCATAAATGCTGTAATACAGTTTTGAGCAAAGGCCACAGAATGAGCCATTTGATTTATAAGCTGGCACTGATGACAAGGTGAAGGACATTGTCACACTTAAGGTGTTAAGCTTAGCCCAGCCACAACCGCTTGCTTTCAGTCAGGGGTACAGTCCTACCTGGCCAAGCTGTTCACAAGCCGTTTGATACTCAGCTCGCTGACAGAGGTCTTTCACGCGCTGGTATTTGGGTAGAAAGTTTTCTTCTTGGGCATCTACCTTCTCATTCTCCCTCTTATGCAGCAGTTTACTGGAAAAGAGAAAAAAAAAGATTTATTTTTGCATTAATATTAGTTCCAAGATACACATCCAGTTTGCTGAAAAGGCTCAGAGGAGTAGGTTAGCTGCTAAGTCCATAGCATCACTGGTGGCCAAAACCGAATAGTCCAGTAGAAACTAGCACTTATCATCATCTCCAGTAACACACAAGTTATTCATATCATGCTCTCAGGGAGCCTACAAAACCACACAAAAGCGGGACAGTGTGTTTCATGTCTGATTGGCAGGCAGTAACAACAGTCGATGCAAAGAGACCATATCCTCCTCACTCTAAGGGCTGCGTGTTGCAAATCCTTCATGCCCCATGTTACGCACTAAGGCAGAGACACAGAGATGAGCACGCCGAGAGGAAATGTTATTCATACTCCCATGATACAAGCAGGAGGGTCGGGGAGGGGCAGCAGCTGAAAGAAAAATGGGATGCCTTTCCATCTCTCCGCGCAAGCACAGCTCCCCCCAAGAGCACATTTACGCGGGCTGTAGGCAAAGGCCATACATCCCCTCCTATCACACAAGCACGGCCATTAGGCGTACTGCAGCCGCGTCCCTGCTGGCACAGCTAAATGGCTTTGAGTCTGTGGTAGAGCGCTGCTTTGGCTTTAGCTATTCAGTATCCTGCTATTTAAAAAGACTGGGCTTGGTGGTTAACACTTTCCTTACCCTCTTTCCACTAGGAACGAGTCTCTCCACACCTTCATCTTTTTCTTTAAATGGAACCTAGGAGGAAACGAGGAGAGGAAGCAGCCAAACCAGTAATCAACTCATGCCCAGTTTTCTCTTCCACCCCCAATTCAGGTAAGAAACATTACAGATAACTGCACAGGGGGACATCCAGCTTTATGAAGCAGGCACGTATGCCTCTCCAGTGCAAATTATGAGCAAACATAGGACAGATTTGTTCTCACAGGGACAAAATCCACAACAGATTCACACAGTACAACTATTTCAACATAAGCATGTTTAAGGCACAGGGGATTAACTGAATTGTCCTTGATCACAAAGGGTCGTAAATTCAATCAGGATTTCCTGACTCCAGTTTGGGCTCTTAACCTGCACACTACCCCCAACGTATCCTATTTTAAAGCAGCTGCTCCTTTCCCCCGCTCCCTCCACCCAACTACTTGTAAAGCAAATCTCCTTCTGCCCTTTTTCTGCTGACTTTCCCTAGCATGCATCCAGTCTAATTCTCCTCCTCAGTCTTTTTTCCAATGAAAGTATTGATGGAAGGTCTCAAATAATAACTGTGCAATTCTGAGTGCTAGCCTGTCTTTACACTATAGTCTGATACACAACCAACACTTTCAACTCAATTATTCTAAAATGTATTCAATATGAAACGCTTTGCTATAAATGATGCCACAGAGACATTTAAAATCTATAACTCACACAGCTAAAGACCTTCGTGTGTAGCCCTCTCACTGCTACGCAGATTACATTTAGTATACCCAGAAGCCATACATGCCATATAGCTAGTATATGAACCCGATAAAATGAAAATAAATAACTGAAGTCAGTCATATATTGCAAATTGGTCTTTAGATTTTCCAGTGAATGATGTACTCATACAGATGGTAATTTTATTATATTTTTCTTTAAATTTGCTGCGTGTTGCTGAATACTTGCTCAGTCCCCTGTACAAACACATGCATGTTTACACGCACGTTTTTATTTCTTACCTATTCACTGGTCTCTCAGAATCCAGAAGCTTCAGAATGGATTTACCATCCATATCAGATGGAATATCCAATCCAGCAATATCTAGAATTGTAGGTGCGAGATCAATATTCAACACAATGTGAGGATTCCTGAAAAAACATATATGAGAACCTGGTTTAAAGTCTATGCAATGATATCAAGCCACACCAGCTCTTCCACAAAGACCAGGGATCTGAAAAGGCTTATTTTGTGACATCTGCAAAGAAGAAAAGAGGACACAATCCAGTTCCTTTCCATGAGGGGAAATGCAGAATACAGGCAAGTTGTGTCACCTCAAGAGGGACTAATATGAAGATTTAAAACTTTAGCACAGAGCATTTTTGAGAAAGCAAAGTAGTTCATAAGGCAAAGTTAGTTAATTATTGCAAAAGAGGGTTCAAAAGTCTTTCAAAACATGAGAAAGCATTGGAAAAACTCCTTGGGTGTCTTATAGAATCAAAGGGTCTGCCAAATTCGCTGATGACGTTATTAAAAAAGTAGATTTGGCAGGTAGCGCATGCTTTATCTGTTTCAAAATATGGTATAGAAATAAGTACCTCAGCTCACATCACATGTTCTGAAGGGAACATGAGGAGAAATATATTGCTAGATGCTACAGTAAATAACTAAAAGTTGCTGTTAATGTAGAGTGTGAGACAGAAAAAGGAAAGCAATCAGGAAAGAAAAAGCAGAGAGGAAGCAGTTATGGAGGGGGGAAAAAAAAGCAAAGCAAAGCACAGCCTTAATTGAAATAATGTCAATCTTCCCAAGTGCACAGTTATCCATTCTGCAAGCACTTAGAAACAGCCGTGCCCTGTTACTTTAGCGGAGTAGTGGCATATGCTCCTCAGCCCCCACAGTTAACAAGGACAATATTTGAACTTAAATTGACTTCAAATTTGGTTAAAACATTGGCATCAGCTCCAGAGGAGTACAGACAGCTCCTATCCCCAGATCCCTTGAATGCCACAGCTAAATGAGTGTGTTCATGGATCGGAGCATCACAGCCTGGCATTCAGTAGCTAAACGAATGCCCAAATTTCCAACCGTGTGACTTGGTTTTACTCTGGGTCTGGTTTCACACAAGTGTTTTCAGTTTATGTTGAACCTTCCAAACTTACTTCAAATGTGTCTAGGACAGTGTCGTGTAATTACTCACAATATTACATATGTACATACTGTTTATCAGCTGTGTACTATTTCTTTTCTTTATTTCTTTAAAAAAAAAGAAAATCAAGGAAGGCACTCAATTTCTTAAAAG